AAGTTCGGATGGCTAGTTCACCAAGTAAAGATGATGTGCACACACAACCCAGCACGGAGTGTCATGGCACTTCGGTGGTGGTCACGGGATGCAGAGTGACACGTCTTCAGTGTTCCAAGCTATTGGTGTTTTGACAGAGCCGAAGTGCCTAACTTGATCCAACAATTTGCTCCCTCAATATTGATGGTGGTCATCTACTCGGTTGCTTGCTATCAGCCTTTTGGAATAGTAGCTCACCGTGTTTCGAATGTGTAGGTGGATAGTACGCTTGCATCCCTGCAGTGTCGGGTACGTCGCTTTGACCTAGGCAAAAGCAAACCACACAATCACATTGCATAACCCAGCACAAAACGAGATATCATAACATGAAAGCAGACTAGGTATGATCAGATTTGCAAATAAACACAGCGTGGTCAATGCAAACGGATTACCATGAGTACCAGGAACAAGTCATGCTTGGAAATACCTGAGGAGCAGTGCACACCCCCAGTCGCCTGAGGAGATGAATAAGTGGTCTTTTGCTGCAATGGGCCAAATTTGACATCTATCGTCCACGAAATATCAAAGCATCGTGATCAACCGAATTGGATGCACGCGCCACGCATGAGACCGCAGAATGATGAAGTGTTGCATTTGCGGGTGTTGAAGGTGTCGTTCGCGATTTCGGTAATGGTAGCATAGACGAAGATTGAAATTGAACGAAAGAAGGACCATTAAGTCCACGTTATTATCAACCGGCTAGCAAAAGACTATTGCTATTTCGCGATTCACTTGTCGCTTGTCTGTCCACGTCATAGGCAGCGCACAGCTGTGTGGGTTTGACATGAGCCTGCTTGCCCTTCATCCCCACCAGTAGAGAGGAGTGGCAATTAAGTGACGCCCCACATTCGGACAGCGTAGGTGATGATTGATTGAAGTGAGGCTGGGACGGATGTGTAGGGACAGCTCAATGTGCGGCTCAGATTTGGTCTTACGATTAAAAAGATCACCTTATCATTAACATGAAGACGGGCACATTACTACCCTTGTTCCAGAGCTCAAACTGGGCTGCTTACAGTGGTATTCGAGTGCAATGGCGTAAATGAGAATTGCACGTGCAATTATTTACGAGGTGTGACAGTTAGATATGACAGTGTATAGTGTAAAGTGAGACAGGCTCAATTGGGATTGAAGGGGATGGGACTGCTCTCACCTCCGTGCCACCTACTGTGGACCATCACTACTCCTCTCTACACTTTCCTACTCACTCAACACTCGGTGCATAAGTTGTGAAGAGTGGTGGCTAAACAGATAGATAGACAAATGCA